TAACTCCAACATCAGGGCTTTCTGAGGATGGAGGCAGCAGGCATATCTGTAACGTCGAAAAACTTCTGCCTGCCAACACGGCGCAAAAAAGTAGAAGACAGACATTTTCAAAGTATACATATAAACATTTATATATACCACGTGCGTGCATACGTAATTACATAAATATATTACTTTATATTAATAATAATAATACAATGTTTTTATGCTATGAGGGATTTATTTTGTGGTCGACAAGAAGTAGGACAGTACTACGTATTATTTAAAAATTTCTAGTGTTTTGGCGTGCCTTTAATATATAACATGCTGATATTTTAAAGTGCCAACTTTTTCACTTGATATGTAAAATCTTTTTGGGGGTAATTTGTTATTGATAGCTTGCAGAAATGCAAACAATTTTCCAAGATCGGAATGAATTTTGCCCGAGAAGTATCTTGTGCCTGCCCGTACATTTTCGGACACAGCCATCCGTAAGAACATGTGGTTCAGTGTAATACAAACCTGGTGAAGAGGGCAGCGAAGAGCCATGCAAGCAGGCATATGATCAGGGCACGCGCCTTAGTGCAGACGTAGCTCGCCTTCAGGGGCTCGCAGATCGCGTAGTAGCGCTCGAAGCTGATCGCCAAGATCGTGAGTACGGACGCATGCGCAACAGTCAGCTCCACGAATGGTACGATCTTACCTGCAAAAATATCCAGAGTGAAGAGTTACTTAGTACTGAAATTTTATTTAATAGTCTTTATATTTTTATAGCATCTATTTTCAATCGCATTCATTCGATGATACAGGAATATACACTTAGTTTTCTCTGAATTTGTTATTAAAATATAGGTGGCCCTCGATTTGCGCCGGTTAAATTTGCGCCGATTCAGAATAACGCCGATTTTGAAACCAATAAATCAAAAGTGAAAAACAATTACTATTATTTATTACGTTTTACAATGTATCTCATACTGATTCTTATACTAAATCGTAATTCTTACATCGCTGGTTTTGAATAAAAATTATAAATACATTCATCTCTGCAATCACGTATGTTTCGTTAACGCGAATTTGCTCCAATGAGATCGATGAATCGGTAAAAGCTGTTTGTGAAATGCAAACATTTGCATATGCGAGTTTGCTCTTAGGCAATTTAATTCCTGGCGCTTTAAACTTTCAAAGACTAATTTAATCTCTACGGAGGTACCGGGATTATTTTTAGTACGCGATTTTCTATGGGTCGGCGTCTTACACTATCGCATAACAACAGAGATGATTGTACACATCAATCACATGAACGAATCGCAGACCAACGAATTGCCGATTGTAAGTGTATAAAATATATTTTTTAAATTCCCTTTATTTTATTTACGTTATTTCAGAGCTTTAAATGTAATGCCATTATATTATTCGTCAATATTTGGGTGCTGGGAACGCATGTCATTGACTTCCCACTGATTTACAATATAAAATAGTTTCAATTTACGCCGGTTCAGTTTACGCCGGTTCGTCCAGGAACGCATCCCCGGCGTAAATCGAGGGCTACCTGTAGTCCCATAAAGTCTGGAATCGTAAACCTTATCTTTGTCTCTCTTGTAAGCGATGACACTGTGTGGAAGTAACCAGTGAAATGACCGTCACGATTTCCTGACCTCTCATGTTTTAACTTTTAAATGTCAATCCACCTGAAAGCCAAAAAAAAGTGAATGAAATTCCAGTACCCCATATTTCGACATAACCAATGCTTGTTCAGAAACAAACTGGAAAGGAGTGTTTGCACAATACGTCTCTCATTTCAGTGCTTAAAGGCTTAACTTTCGTAGCTAAAGCCCTCAAAACAGACTACGTTTACAGAGGTAATGCTTCACTGTATGCGTTATTGAGAATAAATGATCGAATTATCACATTTCGCATTCTACGAGTACTTTCGTTGTCCTAGGTGACACTTCTGCCTGCACGCATACGTTTAGACTACACGCATGACAGGCGTGGTGGAGAAGTTGCCGTCAAACTAGGCGATGAAACAATCTCAGTGCTCAATGTTTTTGAAGACAAACAGAATTGGATGGTTGGTTATTCGTGACTGTTGAAACATTAAACAGAACAGAGAATTTATCGATTGAATTATTTAAAAGCTCTTTTCAGCTGCGTAGGTGAAGACTGCAGCTTAATTAAGTTGTGATTTCAAGTACTTTTATTGACGGTAAAAGATAGATATATATAAAATGAGAATTATAGGATGGGAATTAATGGTTGAAAAGAAATATATAAAATAAACCTAAGTCTGTTTTGAGGTAAGAATGTCGTTTTTTGAAAGGAATATGATAAAGTACGAAAACCCTTAGGATAGTCGATTTCCAACTCACGATTTGACCCCGGGACCGCCCATATATAAAGTAAATTAAAAGTCCTAACCACTCAATGGAACGTTCGGCAAAATACCTTAACGTAACAAACTGAATTCTTGTTTGGGATTGTTCATCACTTTGATAATGAAGCTTTTAGATATTACGTAGTTTAGACACTTTCCGAGGGGATTTTTTTAATCTGCGTGTAGAGGGTAGAGACGGGACTGTAATTGAGTTCTGAGAAGCTTTCTGTTGCTCATTCATTCTATTGCAATTTAAGATATCGTAGAACTGATGAAGATAATTGGCCGAAGATATCGTAGAACCGACGAAGATAATCATCCGAAGATATCGTAGAACTGACGATGATGATTGGCCGAAGATATTGTTGAACTGACGAAGATAATTGGCCGAAGATATTGTAGAACTGACGAACATAATCATCCGAAGATATCGTAGAACTGACGATGATGATTGGCCGAAGATATTGTTGAACTGACGAAGATAATTGGCCGAAGATATTGTAGAACTGACGAACATAATCATCCGAAGATATCGTAGAACTGACGATGATAATTGGCCGAAGATATCGTAGAACCGACGAAGATAATTGGCCGAAGATATTGTTGAACTGACGAAGATAATTGGCCGAAGATATCTTAGAATTCTTCACCGACTGGTACAACTGTAAGACTAAGGTGGACGCAACTGGAACAAACAAAAATTTCCCTAACAGCGAGAGAAAGACGAAAAGAATTGTTTTCAGCCCCCCACAAAATTTCCAGCATTTTATAGCATATTTCCTGCCCCAGATATCGTCAGATTTACCCCCGTGGGCGGATAACGTGATATGGACCAATAAAATGTAAATCTCTTCAAGCAGTTGATAATCGCGTCGCGATGCTTCCGAGAAGACTGAAGCAATATCTGGAGGTCGTCAGTCGCTGTCTATGGAATGCCTCGAGATTTCTGATGCTCTTTTCAAAAGCGCATGAAAGGGAAAATAAGACGGAAAATGTCGTATTTTAGGCGCGAGAATCGATACAGTTGACAGCGGCGAGCAACTGACATATGACCGCGGTATTACAATGTGTATAAATCTTTTGGAACAACCTGTATTTCATGGGCACCGTGTTTTTGAACGGTTCTAGGCTCCGTATTGGAAAAGAAGCCGGGGCGTGTAGCTGGCCACTCGGTCTACTCCCGAAGACACCGTACGCCTTAATTTTATGATGTTTAGGTGTCAAATCAATTGTATTTTCATTTTTCTATATTCTGTATGCAGATCAAAGAGCTGAAACAGGTTCTTCAGGTGACGTCTTCTTGAAGTCGTTGAACCTACATGTTGGTATGACTCGTCCTCGTCTAAATGGCGATAATTAGACTGAGATCGATACGAGAGTGGCTTTGAACTTTCTCGAGAGTCTTCGTGTTTCACTTTGAAAAGAAATAACAGTCTACATCTGGGTCGTCGTGCCATGAACTATGGTACATGTTTGCCGACACTTCGGTGATGCTTGCTGCCTCCATCATCAGGGCGATTGCCGCAAGCACGTCTGAAACGTCGGTAAACTTCTACAAGACTGCATGACTCAATGACACGGAAGACAGCCATCTTCAACTATTTGTTAACTTTTAGCGAATTAAATTTAGAAGATTTCTGTCTTCTGATGATCTCTGAAACGTTGGTTAACATCGACCAGACTACACAGCGCAATAACCCAGAAGACAGACATCTTCATACTCATCGCCCTGATGATGGAGGCAGTATGACCTCTGGAACGTTGGTTAACATCGACCAGACTACACAGCGCAATAACCCAGAAGACAGACATCTTCATACTCATCGCCCTGATGATGGAGGCAGTATGACCTCTGGAACGTTGGTTAACATCGACCAGACTACACAGCGCAATAACCCAGAAGACAGACATCTTCATACTCATCGCCCTGATGATGGAGGCAGTATGACCTCTGGAACGTTGGTTAACATCGACCAGACTACACAGCGCAATAACCCAGAAGACAGACATCTTCATACTCATCGCCCTGATGATGGAGGCAGTATGACCTCTGGAACGTTGGTTAACATCGACCAGACTACACAGCGCAATAACCCAGAAGACAGACATCTTCATACTCATCGCCCTGATGATGGAGGTAGTATGACCTCTGAAACGTCGGTAAACTTCTACAAGACTGCATGACTCAATGACACGGAAGACAGCCATCTTCAACTATTTGTTAACTTTTAGCGAATTAAATTTAGAAGATTTCTGTCTTCTGGGATGTTGCGCTGTGTAGACTGGTCAATGTTTACCAACGTTTCAGAGATCATCAGAAGACAGAAATCTTCATACTCACCGCTGTGAAAACCTCAAATCTTACGAATTAAATGTAATTAGGACATACCGCAACTCACAGCCTCGTCCTGTAGATTTCACGTTGTATAACAGTCTTCCCATTTTATTACACGCTAAAATTATATATCTACCTGACACAAAGTCTTTAAATAAAACGGGATTTCACGTGTAGGAGTAATGTATAATATTTTGGGTATTATTTATATTATTTTTTTTTGGGAATATTTAAGAGAACGTTTCCGATATTGAATCTATTTGTCATCAGACAAGCCTGAGGGTGGGAAACCTTATCAGATGGACCTCAGGAAATTTTATTATTTTAAACTTTACAAAAACTACAAATTCGACAGTGGGCTTCTAAGAATTTGGAATTTAGATTTCCTCTCTTAAATAAAATGCTCGAATTGACATGACGAACGGTATATCTGGATCTGGAGAAAGTAAAATTATTAGAAGTTTTATAATATGTGCTTTGTGAAACAGCGTCGGAAACCTGGGCGTAGATTGGAGGATAATATTAAAACCTAACTCGAAGAAATATGGGTTGGGATGTGTAATGGCTTTGTATCTCTCAAGACAGGGGAGTTTTCACAAACGTGACAGTCCATATTTGGTCTTTAAAGAAAGGTGAGAGATTTATTGAGTAGCTGAGAAAATTTCTTAAGCAGGACTGCTCTGATTTAGCGAGGCATAGGTGGGAAGACTGTTTTAAAATGGATCTTAGAGAAATAGGGCTCAACGTTGTGGACTGGATTTTGCTGGATTACGGAAGGATCCAATTGCGGGTTTTACTGAACACGGTAATGGACCTTCGGGTCTCATAAAATGCGGGGAAATTTATTTACCTAACAGAGTACGTCGACTCCCTGCTCTGTAGAACATCTGAACAGAGTGACAGGTTTCGGAGTTTCTGCGGGTAAGTTTCCGTGGCGTCCAGTACACGAGGCATTACGCGGAAGTGTCGTCGTATTGAACCCATCGGTCGTGTC